AGTTTTGCATGTTTTGTGTTTCTTGCTGAGTGGGAGTTCTTAGGATTTTGTTTCGACTCTTATGCTGTGATTGATGGATGTATTCTGCATGAGGTTTTGAACTTATTAAGGAGATGGGAATTTAGTTGTGTCAATGGTATTTGGCTTGGGGTTTGAAAATATACTGAAAGAGGTAGTTGGTGTTTGGTTTTGTAATGGAATTAAGAACATTTAATTTGATTGATGTTAATGAATTACATATGAACTATGATGCGTTTTGGTTTCTGGTAATAGAAAATATATCTTTTGGTAATTTGATCATGTGTTTGATTGCTGTTGGCATCCGATTTTCAATTAGAGATTAAAGTTGGTATATTATAGAAGGTGATGCCTGTTCTTTTGTCTTTATATTATTAAACGGTTAGTTGCTAATGTCTTGTTTCAATGGAGAAATATGGGATGAGGCCTCTGTTGTTTAAATCTCCAACCCAGATTTTTTTCTTATTGAGGGTGGTGTTTTTTTTGCTGCTGTTTTGTATCGCTCAGAATTACTCTGTGCACATGGTGGGCTCAGATGGCACACTGAAATACGCAGGTGCACATGGTTGGGCACACGTGTGCACACACTGCATTATGTTAAGGCATACACTGCATTATGTTAGGGCTCATGGTTCAGATTTTGGTTCTGGGTTGTGTTGTGTATTAATTTACTTATAGTTTGTGCTGTAGCCTTTGATTGACCAGGTTATCGAGAAGGCGAGGGCTGTAGCAAGCATTGTTATAGAGTTGATGGAGGTGCTTCACGAGGATGCTAGAGCTTGTTCAAGTGCACAAACGGATAGCCTCATCTAGGTCCTAAGCGTAGCTCGGTTGCTGTTGGGGATTGGCCCACTGGCTCCTGGTCATATTAGGGCCACTTAGTAGCCTGCTAAGTTGACTTTCACGTAGACCCATGATGCATTCTAGGCTAATCCTGCAAATTTGCGTGCTGTCAAGGACAAAGCTAGTGATGTGTGATAATTTGTAGCTAGTTGATCAATACTTTACTTCACTTGGGTACATTCATGTATTCTGATTATGAGATATGATAGCTAATTTTTGGTTGATTTTTACTTTTATATTGGCACATTTTTTCTTAATGAATGACACTTTGATGTAATGTTGCACACAACATTAACACGATTCCAATGCACAACCCAGGCTGTCATATCATCCTGTGTTTTGATGTTCCAGTATAACAATATTTTGACACATTGTGGCACACAATGCGATATGGCACATACAATTCAATATAAGTGCACATCATCTTTTTTTTTTTTTGTTTTTTTTTCATCCGTGAATACATTCTATATGGTTTGGCACAAACAGGATGAGTCGTGTCTACACCATATTCTTTACAATCAAAAAAGTTTTCGTGAATTCATTTTTGCAGTGTTATTGGACGAAATGGCACACACTGTGTAATCTAAGTGCTTACCAAAACGGCTACAATTACACAATTTGTCACACACATTGCAATAACGCACAGACTCAATCTTTACGTAATGGCACAGACATGTTAACGTAATCGCAAACTGGAGTGTATTACATGAACCTATTCACCGTGGATTCAGTCTAGAAGAATTTTAGCACATGATGGCACACTAAGATCAACCTTAGTGCACGCCAGTTCATGGTGACAATAACGCTTCATAGTATGGCACACATGGTGTAGCCCAGGTGCACACTTCCTTCTTGCACCCTTTAAGTGCCGAACCTAATTATGGGCATTTTGTCACACTCAATCTCTACGTAATGGCACATACATGTTAACGTAAGCGCACACCGGAGTCGGAGTGTATTACATGAACCTAATTTCCGTGGATTCAATCTAGTAGAATTTTAACACATGATGGCACACTCAGATTAACCTTAGTGCACGCCAGTACATGGTCACAATAATGCTTCACAGTATGGCACACATGGTGCAACCCATGTGCACACCACCTTCTTGTACGCCTTTAAGTGCAGAAACTAATTATGGGCATTATGACACTACATTATGTTAAGGCACACACTACATTATGTTAAGGCACACACTACATTATATTAAGGCACACACTGCATTGCATGATTCAGTGTGTGCAGTAACGTACAGGACAATGCCCAAAAATGGCATAATCATAACATGACTGCAACCAAATGCACAGACCGCTCTTGTATGCTTTCACATAGCAGCACGAATGGATGTATTAAAATAAATTCCAATTATATGTACGCACAGGTATATGGGGTCAAATATTAATGTTACCAAAAACAGTAGGACTCCTTCCTTATCTTCTCATCCTAAAATCTTGGAGAGAATCCGAATACAATATTTGATTAAAATTAGGATTTGGACTAAATTACACAAATATCCTTTTTAATTAATTATGTGTAAGATGCACATAAAAATATATACTAATCTAGACCATTGATTAAACAAATTTGAATGGGATGGATTAGTTCTCACGTTCCTACCTAACAAAGAGTTCTTACTTGAAGGCCCCCTATATATATATATATATATATATATATATATATATATATATATATATATATATATACACACACACACACACACACACACACACACACACACACACACACACACACACATATATATATATATATATATATATAGTGTTTTCACTCAATAAGCACAATGATTAAACTCCCTTGAACATGGCTAATCCTATAATACAATCCTAGTTAATAAGATCCAGAATAGCTGCAACCAAATGACTATCAAAATCATGTCAAACTGAATTCTATTCTTTCAATTTGCATCTAATTTGTTTTAGATCAAATCTTTCTTTATTTTTATAATTTTATTTATAATAAGTATTACTATTATTAATTATTCATAAATTAATTTACTCTTATTACAAACTATAATAAAATCAAATTAAGTTTTAAAGATGATTTAGTGTAAAAGCAGCTAAAGCCATAATGCTGCATGTTTGTAATGATCAATTAACTATTGCAACTGTTGTAAAAGAAAATAATTATTTACTACTTATATAAAGGAGATAATACCCAGTTTAGTCATATATTATATGCAATATTCCTGAATTATATGTATATAAGAATGGTGAATATTGTTGTAGTGTTGCTATAAGTGTTGATAATGTCTGTTAATAATATAATATTTATTTCTTTTAAGTGAATTGTACTTTGTATCTTTAAAGTATGAAATAACTAGAAAGTATGAAATTTGCTTTGCTGTAAGATGAATTGAGTTGTTAAATATATGAATGTATATGTGTAGCTCTTTGCATACATATAAGTATTATGGATAGAAGTTGGATGTATCAAAGGCGAACTCAACCCCTGCATGAACATCAACCCCTGCGTCAACATCAACCCTGCATCAACATCATATCAGCCCTTGCATTAGCATCAATTCTTGCTGCATTAGAATTAGAATCACTCCCAATATCAACATCGACACCATTATCTTCTTCCATACCAACCACGCCATCCATAGATACTAATGGTCAAAGAGTAGGGGAGGATGTTGCGGAGCAACAAAATCATCGGATTGATAATATAACACATAACGGACGCTTAGCGATTGATGATCAAGGCAAGATGCATGTAAGTTAATTAAATTAAAATGAGCTTTCAAATTTGAATATATATTACATCTTTTAAACTATGAATTTCCTTTATTATAGGTTGACTCATTCTGATGTTTGCGCTAGAAAGATTACTAAGCTATTCCAGGAACGAATAGATCCCAATGGCTATGCATGGGCGCAACTTAGTGATGATACAATTAAGTTTTATTGGGAAGAGTTCAAAGTATATTTTAATACCTAAAAATTATTTTGTTTACATGTCTAACTTTTGATGCTTAATATTATTTATACTGTGTATTGCAGAAATATTTTGATTAGAGTGTTGCTAAAACAAATTTAGTGTATAGTGCTTGGGAAGTGAAGGCAAAAAGAAGATATGCGAAGCAGAATGAAGAACAAGTCAAGACCTCCCTATATCAACGAAGAAATATGGGCTAAGTGGAATGATGTTTGGAATTCTAAAGATAGTAAGAAAAAATCAGAATTAGAAATAGACATGCGGGTGTTTTAGATGGAGTTGCCCAATCTATGCATACCACAGGATCAACCCCTCATTCCAAAATTGCCATTGAACTTGTAAGTTCATTCGAATTGTTTAAGTTATAAGTGATTATGTTTGGATTGTTTGAATTATGCGTTATTGTGTTGACAGAAACTTTTATTGATATTATTGTGATGAACTTATTGTGATTTTATTTTATTGTGCATATTGAGTTGATGTTTGAGTTTATATTATATATTAAGCAGGGAGATAGTTCAAACTATGTTGAATTTTTTATCAGAATTTCGTTTGTTTTATATAATAATTATGTGTTATTGTGTTGGTAGAAATTTTTATTGACACTATTATGATAAAATCATTATGATTTAATTTTATTGTGTCTATTGAGTAAATGTTTGAGATGTTTGTGTTATATATTAAGTAGGGAGATAGTTCAATTTATAAAGGAAACTCTCTGAATTATTTTTCTAAATTTTGTTCGTTTTAAAATAATAATTATGTATTGTTATGTTGATAGAAACTTTTATTGACATTATTGTGATAAAAACAGTGCGATTATATTATATTTTGCTTATTGAATTGATGTTTGAAATATTTTTATTATATATTATATATTATAGTCTTATTTGTTTTAATTTTTAATTTATTTTGTATCTATTTTAACTAATTTTTATGAAAAGCAATTCGGTCGTCGTCTATCATATTTTGAATTGTTCAAGCATACACATACCAAAAAACATGTTGGCCAAACCTTTATATATAGTTGAAAAAGACAAACAAATCCATGTAAATTTATTTATCTTGATTTTCCTTGAATATATATGAATTTTTATAAAAATTGCACTAAAATTTTTAATTTTTGCTGGAACAAATTGCATTGCAACGTGAGGTATTAACACAAAATGGAGAAGAAGTAGATGAGAGTCAATTGTATTATGATGCAGTTGGCGGGCATGATAAGAAAAGATGAGTTTATGGACTTGGCTCATGGTACATTCATTCGTAGTCCAATAAATGCTAACACATCGGACAATATAACATCAACCTCGCAGACATCAGAAAATGCTAATTCTTCAAAGATCCATGATGAGATTGAGAAATTGAAGGCTTCTATGGTTCTTATGTAGCAAAGATTAAATTTTCTTGAGAGTAAGAGAGATGGTACTTCATCATCACCCTCATCACGACCAAAGTCACTTTGATTTGATTTTTCTACTATATTGTTGTTTAGACATGAATTTGGTATTAAGTACAGCATTTAATTTTTTTGAACTATAAAGTAGTATCACTTTTATATTACTAATTATATTGTATTTTAGTTTGCGTATTAACAATTTAAATACAAATATTAGAATTTTAACAAAATAGTAATAATTACAAAAATATTTAAAAATAATAATTTAGTAGAATTGTGATGAAATATAATTTTAGCGATGGAATTACTACGGAAATTTGTTCCGTCGTTTTCTTACGACGAATTTGTGCGACGGAAGATGAAATTTGCAACGGAAAAGTTTGCGACGAAATCGCGACGGCAATTTGTTTCGTCGTTTTTTTTACGACAAAATTTTATAGCGGAATACAAAATTTGCAATGGAAACGGAAAGGTTAGCGACGGATTCGCGACAATAATTATTTCCGTCGTTATATTTCACGACAGAAATATGTAACGGAATATGAGTTTTGCGACGGAATATTTTTTCACGCAATGACGACAGAAAGAAACATTTCCGTTGCCAAAATCGCGACGGAATGACTTCCGTCGCCTACTTCGTGACAGACAATTTCGTCGCAATCGCTCGCGACGGATTATTTTCGTCACGAAATGAAATACGACAAGCCTTGAGACTACGGAATGAATTCCGTTGCGAAAATGAAAAATTCTGTCACAAAACGCGATTTGTGACGGAATTTCGCGTTTTCGCGACGGAATTTGTCCGTCGCGAATCGCGATTTTTCTTGTAGTATGTCAGAATTGCTTTACACGCACATGTATATATATCAATTGTGTATTGTGAAATAATTGGTTGTGGACATAATTTTAGTTATTAAAATTAGGGATTTGATTTTTGTATAATGTGGTTTAGATGGCTGATATAGATGAACAAAGCATAAGGAAGGAAAAGGCAGAGGATCTGGTAATAGCTCTAGCTGAAGCCAAGTGTTGAGATTAACAAGAACAAGAAAAATAATAATGACAAAAAGGTAAAGAAGACAAGATTTACGTGGTTCGGCAATGTGCCTACATCCACGGGAGTGAAAGTATTCTCTTATTATTTGTGATGGTGATCCGGTGATGAGATACATTGATTATATTTATAGGCATATAATCTCCCTTTCACTCCTATTCCTTATATGAGACAAACTCATATTCCTAATCCTTATATGAGACAAACACAACAAATCTCCACCTTGGCGAATATGCTCTCTAGGAGAAAAGATAACTCAACAAATCTCTACCTTGGCGAATAAGCTCTTCAGGAGAAAATACTTATCTAACCATCTCCACCTTCGCAAATAAGCCCTTTAGGAGAAAAAACTCATCTCATAGTCTCCCTGGATTAGGACCACCATGTTCATTTAACATCTGGAAACACCCAACAAGTCCAAACAATGTTTGAACTTGTCACTAGTAACTGCCTTTGTCAACATGTCTGCTGCATTTTCACTTGTATGAATTTTCTGCAACAAAATCTCACCAGAAGCAACCAACTCTCTGACCTTATGAAACCTTACATCAATATGTTTGGTTCTGGTATGGTATACTTGATTTTTAGCTAAGAAAATGACACTTTGATTGTCACAGTGTAATTGAACTCCATCTTGCTCAATATCCAACTCCTTAATCAAACCTGCTCCTTAATCAAACCTGAAAGCCACAAAGCCTCTTTAGCTGCCTCAGTCACAGCCATGTATTCTGCTTCAGTTGTAGACAAAGCTACAATTGACTGAACTGATGATCTCCAACAAACAGGACCACCCTAAAAACATACCCTGTCGTAGACCGTCTATTATCCATGTCACCAGCATAATCAGAATCCACATATCCCATGAGTACATGCTCATTCTGTTGACTCCCAAATACAATACCATGCTCCATAGTGCCCCTTAAGTACCGGAGAATCCATTTAACTGCTTCCCAATGCTGCTTCCCAGGTTTAGACATGTACTTACTAACTTGGCTAACAGCATGAGCCAAATCAGGTCGAGTACAAACCATTGCATACATTAAACAGCCAACTGCACTAGCATAAGGAACCTTTGCCATATTTTCAATCTCACTAACTGTTTGGGGACACTGACAGGATGAGAGTTTAAAATGATTAGCCAAAGGGGTACTAACCGGTTTAGACTTACTCATCCCAAACCTGTCAAGAATTTTCTCTATATAACTCTGTTGAGTTAGCCACAACTTTCTTGCACCTCTATCCCTGTGAATTTCCATGCCACGAATTTTCTGTGCAACTTCTAAGTCTTTCATATCAAATTCCTGACCCAACAAAACTTTCAATGCAGCAATATCATTCATACTCTTAGCAGCGATTAACATATCATCCACATACAGTAACAGAAAAATAAAAGAACCATCACCAAGGCTTTTAACATAGACACAACAATCATACTCACAACGTGTATAGCCAATTTGAATCATGTAAGCATCGAACCGCTTGTACCAGTGCCGTGGAGCCTGTTTCAGCCCATACAAAGACCTCTTGAGTCGACAAACCAGATGCTCACCTCCAGGTTTAACAAACCCTTCAGGTTGCTTCATGTAAATTTGCTCATCTAGATCACCATGTAAAAAAGCAGTTTTCACATCCATTTGTTCCAAATGCAAATCCCAAATGGCTACCAAAGCAAGTACTAATCTGATAGAAGTATGTCTAACAACAGGAGAAAAAACCTCATCATAATCTATCCCCTTCTGTTGAGAAAACCCCTTCGCAACTAACCTAGCCTTAAACCTTTCCCCTTCTTTTTCTGATACTGGTGGCTTCTTCCTATAGACCCACTTGCACCCTATAGCCTTCTTTCCTTGAGGAAGTTGAGCTAACTCCCAAGTATGATTCTGATGTAAAGACTCCATCTCCTCAATCATACCTGCCATCCATTTATCTTTCTCCTGGCTAGAAATAGCCTCTTGAAAGGTAACTGGATCCTTATTAGAAACAAGAAGTGCAAAAGAAACCATATCCTCAAACCCATACCTACTAGGTGGTTTGACATTGGTGCGTCTCGTTCTATCTCTAGCCAAACTGTAATCTTGTAAATTTTCTGAACTCGAACCTGCTGCAGATGTAGGATCTGTAACTTCTTGAGTCTCAATCGTAGGTGGATTAACTACTTTCTCACTCAAAGGTACACGATCCATATCCACTTCTACTGTGCTAGAACCATCAACTAGTGTATCTTCTTTCTTTGGCTGGAACATGAAATTCTCATCAAACACTGCATCTCTGCTAATCACCACCTTTTTGGTTGCAGGATCCCAAAACTTATATCCTTTTACACCTTTCTTGTACCCCAAAAAGATGCACTTCTTCGACTTGGGATCTAACTTTGATCTCTCATCACCTGGAATAAGAACATAGCTAGGACAACCAAAAACTCGTAAGTGATCAAAACTTACAGGATTACCTAACCAAACCTCCTCAGGAACCTTGCCACCAAGTGATGTCCGTGGTGATCTATTGATCAAGTAACATGCCATGTTCACTGCTTCTGCCCAAAAACACTTAGAGAGCCCAGCATTCAATCTGAGACACCTTGCTCTCTCAGCAATGGTTCTATTTAGCCGCTCAGCAACACCATTCTGTTGTGGTGTCTTACGCACTGTATAGTGCCTTTGAATTCCATGTTCTGCACAGAATTTCTAAAATTCTTTCTCAGTATATTCCGTCCCGTTGTCAGACCTCAGGTACTTGATTTTTCTTCCAGTCTGGTTCTCAACCTCAGCTTTCCACAACTTAAATTTCTCAAACACTTCAGATTTATGTTTCAAGAAAAACACCCAGACTTTCCTAGAAAAATCATCAGTAAATGTAACATAATATCGAGAGCCACCCATTGAAGGTTCCCTGGTAGGTCCCCAAACATCAGAATGCACATAATCCAGAATCCCTTTAGTTTTATGCTGCCCAGTAGAAAAACTGACTCTAGTCTGTTTCCCAAGGACATAGAATTCACAGAAATCTAGCTTACAACATTTAACTCCTTTTAACAGATTCCTTTTGTGCAAATCAGACAAACCACGTTCACCAAGGTGTCCCAAACGTAAATGCCACAATCTAGTAGTATCATCACTAGACTCAACAGAATGTGCTCCACCTACAACAGTATTACCCAACAACCTATAAATGTTCCCTGTGGTCCTCTTCCCTTTCATCACAGTTAAAGCACCCTTACTAATTTTAATGGTTTCCTTATCACTCTCAGACTTATGAATAAAACCATTAGCATGCAAACTGCCAAGAGAAATCAGGTTCTTAGTTAATCCCGGTATATGTCTGACATCATGCAAAGTTCTGACAATACCATCATACATCTGGATGTTAACATCACCAATACCTATGATATTATGACATCTATCATCACCCAGAAAAACAGAACCGAAAGTACCTGACTTATAGGTTGTGAACCACTCCCTGTTAGGTGTAATATGATAAGAGCATCCTGAGTCTAGAATCCAAGCATCTGACAACTTACTCGATGAAACTGCTAGAACATCACCTTCACTATAATCTGAGTCATCAGCATGCACCACATTCGCCGCCTCTTGTTGTTTTTTAATTAATTCAACTTTGGACAATCTCTCTTTATGTGCCCAATCTCATAACACTTGTAGCACCGGATTTTCCTGCTATTTCTGGACTTAGACCTAGAGTTTCTCCTCCCAGAATTACCCTTCTCTTGCTTCCTTCCACGATCCTGACCCTCTTTAGCATACAAACTTTCACCAACAGACGGTCCATCTCCTACACTCTGCATGCGCTTATTATGAGCCTGCAGGGCCGCAAAGATCTCGCTGTATTTAATCGTGCTTTTCCCGTATGTTAGAGTAGTCACTAGATGTTCAAAGGAAAAAGGTAATGAACATAGCAAAATCATCGCATTGTCTTCATCTTCAATCTTGACATCAAGTCTGGCCAGATCTGAGATTATCTGATTGAAGACATTAATATGATGCACCAAGTCTGAACCCTCCTGCATCTTAAGCCCATAAAGCCTTTGCTTTAGATACAGTTTGTTCGTTAGAGATTTTTCCATGAACTAAGTTTCCAATTTATCCCAAATTTCTTTTGGGGCTTCCAGGGCCATAACATGATACACAATTCCATCGTCTAGGCATAACCGAATGGTTCCTGCCGCACGCTCCTTCAAATCTTCCCAATCATCCTCTTCCAGATTAGCTGGCTTATCCGCCTTCAAAGTTTTCAGAAGACCCTGTTGTTCCAACAAATCCTTTACCCTAGATTGCCATAACCCAAAATTCCCTGTACCATCAAATTTTGATACCTCGAATTTTGTGCTTGAACTGGTCATCTCAACAGTGCTCTGATACCAATTTGTTGAGATTAACAAGAACAAGAAACAATAATAATGGCAAAAAAGGGTAAAGAGGACAAGATTGACGTGGTTCGGCAATGTGCCTACATCCACGGGAGTGAAAGTATTCTCTTATTATTTGTGATGGTGATCCAGTGATGAGATACATTGATTATATTTATAGGCATATAATCTCCCTTTCACTCCTATTCCTTATATGAGACAAACTCATATTCCTAATCCTTATATGAGACAAACACAACACCAAGGTACGAGGATAAACCCATTCTCATTTTCACTGTGCTTATTGACTTTAATTGTTAAGAATATGGGAAAAAAAACAAAAATGTGGTGTGTTTATTAGCATTTGCATCCAGAGTTACGCCAGAATTAAAGCCATTCTTATTAGTGAAAATTGATTGGAGTAGTGTAGAATAAGAGTGGACACTCATTATCTTTGTGTCTTAAGCTTAGTTAATAAACAACAAAGGATTCTGACGCTAACATTTGAATAGTTTTCCATTCACAATTGATGAAGACAATCTCTAGATTTGGTGGGATGAGTGGTTCTGGAATTTGATTCTTGCCAACTAATTAATATCTCTAACACATTTTAATTAGGTTCATGTAATAAAGCTCTTTTTTTTTTTTTTTTTTTTTTTTTTTTTTTGTGTGCATTTCTTTTTAGTTTTGACAATGATGTTGTGTCATTATATGTACCACCTTAACATGCTTGTTTGTCTGAGTTTATGTCAATCAGACCCACCATTATCAAATAAAATGTTACATATATTTGAACTTTTAGTCTTATGTACGGATTAGAAGACAAACATTTTTGTCATTGTATGTTATTCTTTGGCAACTAGAAATATATTTTTTACTTCTTTTTTGCATTGTTTTATTTTGGTTTATTTAGTTGAAATTATTTTCCAAAGGAAAAACTCAAATTTCTGAAAGTTTAAGGTTCTCTATTTCCATTGATACTTTTCTACATAATGTGATGCCTCTATTTTAACTAAGGTCAAGCTCAAGCTCTCTCTCACGCATCCTCAATCAAGCTTTCTATAGTTTTGAAACTATTTCATTGTATTTCTGATTTTTATTTTGTTTCCAGTTTTCTCATCATGAACCAGGTGTTACTCATGTCTTAGTTATCAGAGGTGCTGGGTATATTGGTTCACATGCTACATTAAGACTTTTAAAGGACTCGTACAGGGGCGGAGCCAGGATTTGTTGGTGCGGAGGGCCGATCACAATTTGAGAGATAATAATAAAATACATTAATATTCATTTCACATATTCCAAAATACATCATTATATTACAAATCTACTAAAATTTAGAACGTCTCTCTTGCATGTCACGAAAATCATCTATAATTGAATCTATACTAAATTGTTTTGCAATTTGTTTTTCAATATATACTAACAGACAATCATTAAGAAAGTCATCTTCCATCTTGTTACGGAGTGTAGTCTTTACTATATTCATGGCAGAAAAAGATCGTTCTGTAGTAGCCGTAGACACTGGAAGTGTGAGAATGAGAGTTACTACTCTGAACACAAGAGGATAGATATTCAATTTTCTAGTTTTCACCAACCATTGGCATAGATCAGAAATACTTTCTAGTGTTATGAAATCAGGAAGTTGTTGCACATTTTCAAAATGTTCAAGTTGCATTCTTAGTTGTAAAATCTCATAATCTTCAAAGTCTTGAGGGTAAAACTTCTCCACCAACTTGCAAATATCATCAATTCTGAATGATATATGAATCTCTTTTGGATCTAACGATGAACTGAGAATAATTAACTCCATTGCTTTATCATCAAACCTATTGCAACTGAGAATCAATCATGGCATTAAAAATATCAAATTTGTAATGATGCCCAATTGTTAATTCATCTTGTTGATGCCTAGCCCTTCCCCTTCTTGCAATATATTGAGCATCAAAATCCGGCACAGTTATGTTGACAGTTTCGCAAAAAGACTTCACACTTGCAACTAATTCATCCCATCCACTATCTCTTAAATTTTGAATAAGCAATTTAGTAGATGACACAAGATGCATTGCATTCAATATTTCTTGAGGGGTGAAGTTGTAAAGCTTGGCAAAGCATATTTGAAATCTCCAAATTTTTTCTCATGAGATGCATAATGAATACAAACTCAAAAGAAGTGAGTACCTCATAAGCTGCATCGGCATCTCCACGGTGAGCATGTGTAGTTCCATCTTCAACAATATTAAGTAAAACTTCACATGTTGCACTATACATTCTCATCAAACTTGAAATAGACTTCAAATGAGAACTCCAATGAGTATCACCCGACCTTTGTAAAGAACCAATTTGATTAAGACCTCTCCCACTTTCAAGCTCATAAATACTAAGCAAATGAGCAATATTTGAGGCATGAGCAACTTTCAACTGGTCATTGCGCTTACATGATGGCCCAACAACATTAATAATAGAGTTCAACTTGGTGAAAAATTGATGGGCAGTGATGACTTCCTTTGATGAAGCTACTAATGCCAATTGCAATCGATGTGCAAAACAATGAACATAATAAGAATAAGGACATTCATCCAAGACTAAAGCTTTCAATCCATTCCATTCTCCACGCATGTTACTTTCACCATCATAACCTTGTCCCCGAATATTCTGAACATCAAGATTATGACGAGATAAGATAGAAAAGATAGATTTTTTCAATGTTGATGCAATAGTGTCCTTAACATGAACAACTCCAAAGAAACGTTCTTGTATAAAACCATCTTTATTAACAAATCTCAAGACAATTGACATTTGTTCCTTCTTTGATTCATCTCGAGCTTCATCAACAATGATACAAAATTTTGCATCACCAATTTCTTCTTGGATAACACTTTTTACTTTAGTTGCCAACACTTGCAAAATTTGCTTTTGTATTGTTGGTGATGTATATGATGCATTTTGTGGGGCCTTCTCAAGAATTTTTGTTACTTCATCATTAAAAGAGGCAATGAAACTCAATAGATCTAAAAAGTTTCCACGGTTCATTGATGTTATTGACTCATCATGACCTCTAAAAGAACATCCTTGAAATGCAAGCCATCTTGTTGCCTCAATTGAAGTTCTCAAGCGAAGTCTATTCTCTGCTATTTCCTAAGAACTGAATTTCTCAATGTGTGATTGTTGGTTCATGAGATATGCACAAGCTTTCTCGGCATTTTGGTGAGGGGAGGTGAGATCTTTCCCAATGTGTTAAAAATGAGCAATTTTTCCCATCTCTAACTTTCTTCCATGATCTAAACCCATTGATAGTAAAAGCATCCAATCCGGAAGGCCCATCTTGAGTATGAAACAAATAACATGGTAGACAAAATGCTGCATCTTTACTAGGAGAATATTCTAACCAAGAAGGGAATAACTTAAACCAAGATGCTTGAAAACTACGAGGATGATTTTCTCCCGATTTTGGATACTTTGAAAGCAAACATTGATATGGGCCGACCTTGATATAAGCTCTCCTAAATTCATCACGCTTCTTAATGGGTCACTTCCATATTGGTAGTCGCAATCCCGGATAACGTTCTAATGCTTGAATATCAAACTTCTCGTTGATTTCAACTCTTTGAGCTTTTTCAGGACAACTTTCAGAATTCAATGGTTCAATACTTGAAAATGGATTTACTTGAGATGTTGAATCTTCATAATTCTTTCTTTTAAAGAAAAGTCAATTCTTGGTGTGTTTTTCATTTCAACTTAATCTTCCCATGTTCTCACTGTTAACATTTTTTACAAATCAATTAAATTAACTAAAACCAAATGAAAAAAGAATAAATAGAGAAATATTAAAGTAATAGATATTTAAAGATTTTGGTAACAAAATGACCTAATTTCAAACTCATCAAATGCCCATTTAGCTATTTCATTATGATTTATGCACCAGTATTCAAATTCTAGCAAATCCTATTAAACTTTTAAAAGTATAAACATACACTAACCAATGGAGAAGTGGAGAATGTCAACACTCGTAACTGGTAGCCCGAGTTCACCGTGGTTGCCATCGTGAGTCGTCAACTAAGGAAACGAATGAGAGGATTTAACTATTTTGGCATTTACCATGAGTTTATCGCGGTTGTTGTAACTTGTGAGGATGATGAATCCATTTTCAATAAAGATTAATTCATAAAACAAATTCAAAAATTTAAAGAATAAAAAGGAAATAGAAAATTACCCATATACTTGCAAGTAAAAAATTGAAGAGAATTTGTTGTTTGGAATATCTGCCGCCGTGCCGCGTCTGCGTACTGTGGTTGAAATTTTGATTTGTAAATTTAGAATTGGGATGGTTTGAGAATTTGGATGGTTTGCTTACTCAGGAAGAGTTCTTTTAGGTGGGAAAATGTTTGGTGGGCCACATGACAATGACACTAGCTCTCTGCAACAACCGACCACCACCACCTCCTCTCCATGATGTGCAGCTATGCTGCCTTATACTAACATAAAAATTTGTTTCTCTTGGGGGGGGGGGGTGGGGGCAAGGCTCCCTCTTACTATCAGGTGGCTCCGCCCCTAGACTCGTATCGTGTGACTATATTGGTAATTCATCTTTCCAACTGTTTGAATAGGCTCTTCTGTAATTGCTTGTGTAACACCCCGTGTTACGACCCCTAAACCAAATTAATTAATTAATTACTCAGCCTAAAAAGGGAACTAAAATCCATTAATTAGCTAAAAGGGAGTCCACCATAATCCATGGGCTCTTATCCCTAAAGCCAATCCCTTAGTCCTATAGGAAATAGAATTAGCAAATCCATACCACTTAGACCCTAATTGGGACTGTTAGATATATAAATAGGGACATAGGAGGCACCTAGAACTCACAACACAATAACTTCCACCACACAAGAATTCCCGTAGGAGAAATCAAGAAAGAAGAAATCTTAAAGAAAGACCCTTCATAGCCAAGGAAATTAATTAAGGCTAAGAGGTAACCCATGTCTCAACAAAACCTATTTTCCTTGCTATAATCTCCTTCTTTGGCTCCCTCTATATGCTTGTGTCTTGATGAATTCCTTTATGATAATCGTGATATAATCTTATTTGATTGATGTGATGATTTTATGTGTGATCTTGATGATCTCGATATTAAAAAGAGGTTCTTGATATTTATGTGCTGATTCTTGATAAATCTTGATGTTTCTTGATGTTAGAGATAAAATATGATCTTGATAATTTGGATGGGAACTAGAGCCCTAGGTTGGATTGGGAATTTGTATTGTGATGTTCTTGATTTATATTTGGGTGGGAATTCGCATGTTCGGGTGTTGTTATGTTTAGAAGTCATGTTAGGATGTGTTCAATATGATTCTTGCTTTTGATCGTTAATTACCTATGTGGTGTCGTTATTTGCGTTTAAAAGCGTCTAAACATGGTTTCGGGTTCCACAAAGGATCCCGGGATGCGTTATTTGATGAAAGAGTCAGTGGGGGATAGGTGGGGGTAGGGGGACCCGCCACCTACCCGCTGCCCGAGAATCACCGCCAGGCAGCGGGCAGCCGGCGGGCAGACGTCTGCCCGCCGGCCACCCGCTGCCCGGAAGATCGTCGCTGGCGGGCAGCCGGTGAGTGGCCCTCCACCCACCGGCTACCCGATGGTCTGTTACACACCTCGGGTCCTCGGGCTTCCCCGTTTGATGATCCCCATTCCCCGTGGTGTCCCAACGGACCCCGTTTGTCGTGCTTGAGTCTAGTTTGATGTTTCGGGTGCCATTCGTAGGATAGAAGAGTCTTAGGAATTGCATGTTAGTGAATCGGTAACCCGTTGGCCTAGGAGGAATATGCATGAACCCCTTAGGACTACTCTTAGTATGTGAATGATCACACATAAGTTTATTTATACACCTTCCCCTTCCCAATGTGTTATTACGTGCTACAATGTGTTATGTGATGCATGATTCCCCAATTTGGTTGCGATCAAATTGGGTGTTCCTGAGCTGCGGTTCAGAAGTTGGCTGCGGTCAAATATGTTACTTATTAGCTGCGATTCATTTTCCTGGCTGCGGTCAGTGATTCACTTCTTGGGCTGCGGTCCACATGGGCCTCGTGTGCTGTGGTACACCGACCGGACGCGCCAGGCGGTGTGTTGGACCATTAGCCCGAGGAAGGCTGTAGTCCACCGAATGAGTGATCAGGCGGTGTGTAGGGCTATGGTTGGCTGCGATCCACAGAGTGATGGGCCAGCGGTGTGTAGGT